AAATTTTTTTAAAAAAAAAAAAAAAAAAAAAAAAAAAAAAAATTAAAAAAACAAAAGGGGTGAAAAACCATTTCTCATTTCACCAACACCAATTCATGGAAAACCAATCTGGAAAATGGAAAAGTAATTGCCTAGAATATTTTACAATATCAAACACTACTAAAAGGTGGAAAATTCCATTTTCCATGGAAAATGTACAATATCAAACACTACCTTACCGATTTCTTATATATATTACTGAAATGTGATTTTAATAATTTAGCTTATGTTTGAATCTCATTAAATTAAATTTCATTACCTTCCATTTTCTTCTTTCTTATTTTTAACCATACAATTTTCTATAAAATAAAATTACACGTAAATCAAAATTTTTTTATTATTTTTCAATCACTCATTTTTCGAAAAAATACTATTCCACTCATTTTTATTTTCAAAAATTGGGGCCAAACATGGGCTCAAATCGTAGAGTATTGATAAGTTAATATTTCAACATATTACAAGATATGCACAAATCACATAAATCGAGCTACTCCAATCTTGCACAAATCACAGAAATCAAGCAATTGTTCTTCATACATAGATCATTTCCATTACATTCTTCATTTACCATGTATAATTTGCAATTTCACATATAAACGTATACACTCATTGTAAGAAATATGAAAAGGAATATATGAAAATTAACCGTATTCCTTCATCATCAATATTTCTCTATATCATTTTAATATGGTATCAAAGCAGTCCCCTTCCTGCGGCCTCTTCTATCTTCTCTAAATTCTCTTCTTTCTTCTCTGAATTCTGGAAACGTTGAAAGTAACAATCACCATGTCTAATCCCACACCTTTACAATTGATCAATGACCTCACGTCCCCGTATTTCTTAACTCCTGCTGATAATCCTAGTGCTATACTGGTCCCCGACCTCCTCACTGGAGAAAATTACCCTACCTGGAAACGTTCTATGAGAATGGCCCTTAATGCTAAAAATAAACTTGTCTTTGTCGATGATACTCTAAAGAAACCATCCGACACTCAAATTGCCAACCTTTGGGATCGTTGCGGTGATATGGTTCTCTCTTGACTCTTAAACTCCATTGACAAGCATCTTCGATAGAGCTTGATATATTGTACCAAACCTTATGAGGTTTGGGCTAATTTAGAAAATCATTTTTCCGAAAGCAATCACCCTCGTCTCTATTGCCTCCAATGTGATTTGGCTAACCTCAAGTAAAACACCATGCCTGTTACAACATACTACAACACAATTAAAGAAATATGGGATGAAATCATAGCCCTAACCAATCCCAACCCCTGCACTTTTGATGCTTTCAAAAAGGCCAAGAAAACAACCAATACCGAACAGCTTTTTCAATTCCTCATGGCCCTCAATGATTCTTTCTCATATGTCCGGAGTCAGATTCTTGCAATGGATCCCCTTTCCTACAATTTCCGAAGCATATGCTACTATAAATCAAGAAGAAACTCAACGTCACTTGCAAATTCCCTTATTGCCCAATCCCGACAACTCTGCCATGGTCGTGACGAGCACATGGTCACCCGTCGGCAACGGGCCTCAACCTCGCAGTGGTAAGAAATGTACCAAATGTGAAGGGGATGACCATTTATAGTCTTCTTGCTTCGAAATTATTGGCTATCCAGCTCACTGGAACACCAACAAGCCAAAGCAACCTTCACGATCAGCCCCTGTCAGAAAATCGACCAAATGATTCAGGCAATAACCGACCACCCACAGCGAACATGGTATCTAATACCTCAATTCCTTCCACATCAAGTGCAATCCATGGTCTAACTGATGAGCAATACTAATGATTGATGGAACTCCTACACCCAAGCGCTAATGTCGTCTCTGCTTTCGCTGGTATCACATTTTCAATTGTTGAGATTCCTTAGATAATTGATACTGGGGCTTCGGCCCATATATCTTGCATCTCCAACTTGTCTAAAGCCACAAATGTTTCGGCCCACTCACAATCTCTCACACTACCCACGTGTTCCACGGCCCAAGTTGCACATATTGGCCATATTCCAATTTTCTCACATTTATGCCTTTATAATGTTCTTTTTGTCCCGAATTTCAATTATAATTTAATTTTAGTCAGTCAACTTACTAAATCATCTAATTTTATGGTCATTTTTTCTTTCTCTGTTTGTTTAATTAAGGACCAACACACGAGGAAGCTGATTGGGATGGGTGAAGAACGTGGAAGCCTCTTTCATCTTAAGCATTTTACTCCATCTGCACTCCAAATCACGACCAATCCTACTACTGCTCCCGACCTATGGCATCTTCGTTTAGGTCATCCTTTACATTCTTGCATTCCAAAATTTTTATGTAGTTCAAATAACATTAAACATTGTAATATTTGTATCCGAGGCAAACACACACGCCTTTCTTTTAAATTGGTTGAGAATAAAATTACATTTATATTTAACCGCATTTATTGCGACATTTGGGATGGATATTCCACGCCATCCATAATTGGTGCACACCACTTTCTTACAATTGTTGATGATTTCTCACGTGTTACTTGGGTATATCTCATGCGTTTTAAATCTGATGCATTCACTTGTCTCACTAACTTTATTAAAATGGTCTACACACAATTTAACTGCCTTATCAAACATATTTGAACAGATAATGATCAAGAATTTCTTTCTCATCGCATGCAATAGTTCTTCCTTGATCATGACATTATTCATGAACATACTTGTGTTGACACACCCCAACAAAATGGTGTAGCTGAATGAAAACATCCTCACTGATAATTGTGTTTTTGCACACTTATTTAGGTCACAAACATGACTTAATTACGAATAAAATGATTGAATTGTGACTTAATTTCGTTACATTTGTGAATTGTAGGTAACACTAATGAACATGGTGAAATACATGAGAAAAGACACGAAAAGGACTAAAATGACACAAAGTGAAAGTTCAAGGACCAAGCTGCAATTACCCAAAAGTTGACCTGATGAACAAATCAAGGAATTGGCTGAACCAAATGCCAATTGATGATGCCTTGGGATGACAGAATGGAAAGAGTGAAGAAAAGAGGCCTAGAAGTGAAAAATTCAAGTAAAGGGATTAAATTGAAGTTTTTGGAAGTTGAAATCTACCAAGCGGTCGCATGGTAGAACTCTCGTGCGGCCGCACGAAAAGATGCAGGGAATTCAATTGGAAATATGGAATAATCATGCAGCCGCACGGATTAAAACCATGCGGTCACATGGCTATTTGTCCGATACGAAATTTTCTTTACTTATACGATTAAAACTCCTTTGGTAACCTAATATTGACGGGATATAAATATCAAAAACATTCCAGAGACGACCAGAATGAAATTGGAGGCCGAAAAACACTTCTTGGAGAGGATTTGAGCGCAAGAACAAAGATTGGCACGAAGAACTTCAAGATTTATTCAAGATTTTATAACCCGGTGATATTTTTTATTCAAAACATGATGTATTTTGTTATTTTAATCATGCTAGGCTATATTCTTATTATGCCAGGAGATCAATGAACCATGTGATTTGAATTTTAATATCCTCGTTTTGCAATTTGATGTTGAGACACAATTTTTATTGTTTTGAATGATTTATATGCAATTAATGTTTCCGCAATTAAGGGCTCGTAATTGTGTGAATTTAAGTGATTTATTCTTACATTCGAGAGAATTGGAATAGATTTGACATAATATAAATCATCGTAGGGTCCGATAATGGATAGAAATATACCGCTATGCCTTATGTGAATCTTTAAGTGTTCTTAAAACCACATGCATTTTTACATATGCTCTTGTCATAGAAATATAGGCCAGTGGTATGTAGAAATAGGTTTGACATATCTTGAGAGAGAGTATTGGATAGACTTAGACCCTCACTCAACAACAAAACTTTATATGACTTACTTTTTAACAAACCACCTACCTACGATCACTTTCGTGTCTTTGGATGTCTTTGTTATGCACACACTTTGAACGTTCGTCGGGATAAGTTTTTCCCTCGTGGCACATTATGCATATTCTTAGGCTATTCTCAAACCACCTATCGTGTCTATGACTTAGAAACTAAAAGGATATTTCTATCTTGTGATGTACGCTTTGTGGAATCTGTTTTCCCCTTTGCTAATATCATGCAGCACTATGAGCTCACATCACCGCCCACCACGACAAATAATTCACAATTGTTAGATATGCCACGCACCACCTCATCCCCACCCCATGATTCATGTGATGCCTTTGCCTCATATCACCACCAGCTATTGAACCACACAATCCTTCACAACCAAATGAAGATAATTCCAACACCACCCTAGACACCGTCACATCCCCATCCCCACCCCAGCCCCAACAATCTAGACGTCGACGCACTATCACTCGTCCTACGTATTTTCAGGATTATATTTGCTTAGACCTGCCTTCGGAGGGCTCACGTTCGTCATCCCATTCCCAACCTTTCTTATGTACGGTTCACTCTCTACCTAATTTCCTCTCTTATCATCTATTTAGGCCAAAACACTTTGCTTTTCTTTCTTCTGTCTCCAAAAATGTTCAGGATCCTACTCTTTACTCTCAAGCTGTCCTTAAGCCTCATTGGCGAGCGGCCATGGCTTTTGAGATTCAAGCCTTGGAGGCTAATCACACATGTACTCTTGAAAATCTCCCTCCTGACAAGAAGGCCATTGGTTGCAAATGGGTATATAAAACACAATTATGTGCAGATGGTTCCGTTAAATGTTATAAAGCTCGTTTAGTTGCCAAGTGTTTCACTCAGGTAGAAGGTCTTAATTATAATGATACTTTTGCTCCTGTGGCTAAACTTGTTACTGTCCGTTGCCTTATTGCAATAGCTGCAGCCAAACATTGGATTATTCAACAGTTAGATGTTCACAATAACTTTCTCCATGGTGATCTTGATGGAGAAGTGTACATGAAACCCCCACCAGGATATTGTCATCAGGGGGGATGCATGTCTGCCATCTCCACAAATCTCTATATGGCCTCAAACAAGCATCTCACCAATGGTACTCAAAGTTATCTCATACCCTCATCCTTGCAGGTTATTGTCTTATCATCTATTTAGGCCAAAACACTTTGCTTTTCTTTCTTCTGTCTCCAAAAATGTTCAGGATCCTACTCTTTACTCTCAAGGTGTCCTTAAGCCTCATTGGCGAGCGGCCATGGCTTTTGAGATTCAAGCCTTGGAGGCTAATCACACATGTACTCTTGAAAATCTCCCTCCTGACAAGAAGGCCATTGGTTGCAAATGGGTATATAAAACACAATTACGTGCAGATGGTTCCGTTAAATGTTATAAAGCTCGTTTAGTTGCCAAGGGTTTCACTCAGGTAGAAGGTCTTAATTATAATGATACTTTTGCTCCTGTGGCTAAACTTGTTACTGTCCGTTGCCTTATTGCAATAGCTGCAGCCAAACATTGGATTATTCAACAGTTAGTTGTTCACAATAACTTTCTCCATGGTGATCTTGATGGAGAAGTGCACATGAAACCCCCACCAGGATATTGTCATCAGGGGGGATGCATGTCTGCCATCTCCACAAATCTCTATATGGCCTCAAACAAGCATCTCACCAATGGTACTCAAAGTTATCTCATACCCTCATCCTTGCAGGTTATTGCCAATCCGCGGCAGACCATAGCTTCTTCACCAAGACCCAGGGCACAACATTTACTACCATCCTTATCTATGTTGATGATATTCTAGTTGCTTGAAATGACCTGTCTGCCATCACAAAAATCAAGCGGTACCTTGCACAAACCTTCAAAATCAAGGACCTTGGTGATCTCAAGTATTTCCTAGGGATTGAAGTTGCTCGATCCCCTGTTAGCATCTTTATTAATAAGAGGAAGTATACATTGGACATTCTTTCTGATTCTGGTTAACTCGGATCTTGTCTTGCTTATTTTCCCATGGAACAACATTGCAAACTTAATGACTTGGATGGTGACCTTCTGGATGACCCCAACCTATATAGACGGCTAATTGGTCGTTTGATCTTCTTGACTATTTCTTGACCAGATATTACCTTTACTGTCAACATTCTAAGCCAATTCATGCATGCTTCTTGCAAGCCTCACTTCCATGTTGCTCACCGCTTGCTTCGTTATTTGAAGAATACTCCTGGTTATGGACTCTTCTTCTCGTCCAAATACAATTTTACAGGTTTCTGCGTTTTGTGATTCTGATTGGGCTAGTTGTCCACTTACACGTTGCTCTACCACTGGTTTCATCATAAAATTGGGTGACAGTCCTATCTCTTAGCGCACAAAGAAACAAACTACTATCTCCCGCTCCTCCGCCGAAGCTGAATATCGTGCGATGGCCACTACTACTTGTGAACTTGTTTGGATTCACCTCCTTAGGCAAGAACTCATTGTGCCACATCCACAACCTATTCCACTTCACTATGACAATCAAGCTACCTTTCACATAGCTCGCAATCCGATTTTCCACGAACGAACCAAACACATTGAACTGGATTGTCACTTGGTTCGTGAGAAAATTAAATCTGGTCTTCTTCTTCCGTCCTATGTCTCAACCTCTCAACAGCAAGCTGATATTCTTACTAAACCTTTGGAACATGAATTGTTTGTTTTTTTCGATCCAAGTTGGGTATTACGGATCTTCATGCTCCAACTTGAGGGGGAGTATTACATTATATGCACAAGTCACATAAATCAAGCTACTCCAATCTTGCACAAATCACAAAAATCAAGCAATTGTTCTCCATACATAGATCATTTCCATTACATTCTTCATTTACTATGTATAGTTTGCAATTTCACATATAAATATATACACACACTGTAAGAAATATGAAAAAGAATATATGAAAATTTATTGTGTTCCTTCATCATCAATATTTCTTTATATCATTTTAATACAACATGTGGAATAAAAATGCGAAGGTCAAAATTGTAGGGAATTTATAATTATTTTAACATTGTAGAAAAACTAAAAACTCATTAATTAGGGGCTAATTATGATCATTATTAACTAAGATAATAATGAAAGGTTAGTACTTTTTGGTAGAAATTAAAATTCTAATTTAAATCAAAATTAATAATTAATTTTAATTATATTTCAAGAAATTCAAATAAAAATTTAACTACCCATTTCTTTTTATCAAAGTCCGCTAAAATTTTAATTATAATCCTCACAAAATAAGGGTTTAAAGTAGAGAGATTTTGTGTTCAGGATGTCTGTTGAATACTCTAAATTTTAGTTTAACGTGGCCTAGGAGAACAATAACCTTTATCTTTATTTTATTTATTGGATACATTTATTTTCTCTTATTTACTTAAGAATTTCAATAAATTAAATTTAATAAATAATTTTCCAATTTTTATTTTTCTTAACAGTCCAATTTTTATTTTTCTTGTTAATAAAATTGTGAACAAGAAAATTTCCCAGGTACGAGTATCAGGATAAAAATGGAAAAAGGTCCAGCAAAATCCCTAATTTCACCGTATTTACCAATCCAAATCTTCATTCCATTCTCTCTGCCAAAATTCTTTGTCTTAAAGAAATCAATCAAACCGTAAAGAGATCAGAAGAATTTCATCCATATGCGCTTCCTTATATAATTTTCCCATAATTTGTCGTATGCGGTATGCCCCCCTCTTAATTTATCTTAAATGTGTGTGTATACGTTTGTATTTATGCGCGTTTATGGATTTTCTGAAACTTCTTTGAATTGACTCACGTTTTTTTTCCTGAATACATGATATTACGTGTGATAGTTTGGCGGGGAAATATTTGCGTGCGTGCGTGGATTTTCTGAAACTTTTACGAATTGGATAGTTGGATTTTACCCAGTTTTTTTCGCTTTCTTTTTCTGAATTGATGATGTTACGTGGGTTAATCCGCTAGGGGAAGTGATTCCTTACAAGTTAGCGTATTTCAAGGTGGGTACTTAGTTAAATATCGTTTCCTCTTGACATTTTGGTTTTTTTTATGCATTTATAACACTTTGGCATTATGTATACACTGGTACTTAAGTTGTGCGTCGTGTCAGCTGTGATTTTTATTAGGAACATCTGTTATTTGATTTAATTCTTGTTTACTTGAATGGATTTTTAAAATTTTCCTTTTGGGATTACAGGTCGTGGGGAATATGCGAATTTACTGTAAATGAGTGAGCACAGCAGGTTTAGACAATGGCATTAACGGCCCATCAGTTGCAGGTAATGAGAACATTGGCAATTACCTTTTGATGGAAGCTGATAATATTTGCCTTTTCTAAAGTTGCAAGTGTAAAGTTGACTTACTGCTATTGTATTTTAATGGTTGTACGATGCTTTAGTTTGGTTAGGCTGAGACAGTTGTTTTATTGGTTTATGAGGCATCATATAGGTTTAAGTTTCGTGTGATTTTAATCTCATCCGACATTGTTCATGACGCCTATGCATATTTTATATGCCTGTGGGTTTTATTTTTTATATTTCTTCTCAGTTCTATTATGCTATCAAGGTCGAAACTTGAAATGTAATGCAATTCTCACCACAAGATTTAGTATGTTGATCATTGTTTATAATGTAATAGAGTGAGGGAATGAGATTTTGATGCTGATTTTCATTGAAATTCAAAGCTAAAGGTCAAGCCCATCAAATATTGGTGGGAAGTGTGATTACAAGCTAGCAAAATGTCGTTTTTTGCTTATTATTAATCTTCTGTTGAGAATTAGACGTGTGAGGATTGCATTTACTCTATGGAACTGGAGATTGAGTTTGATGTTTGAAGGTTGACAAGATTATTGTAGAGGCACCATAGGTTAGGTCTTCTGAAATCAGAAGCACCTTTCGAAATTAGGATCAGGGCGTATTCTGTGCGTGTAAAAAATAGCACCCCTTGGGATGAGCCATGAAGTGTATGCTCCACCTCCAAGCTTAAAAGCCGTGTGACACCGTCATTGCTTCCTGGAGATTTTGGATCGGCCTGCCTTGTGATGCACCTGAGAACTCTTATTAAAACACTGGTGGTGATACAGGAATGATCATTTGATATTTTCTAAATGGCATATAGTCATGAACCAAGAAGTGTACGCTCCACCTCCAAGCTTAAAAGCTGTGTGACACCGTCATTGCTTCCTGGAGATTTTGGATCGGCCCGCCTTGTGATGCACCTGAGAACTCTTATTAAAACACTGGTGGTGATACAGGAATGATCATTTGATATTTTCTAAATGGCATATAGTCATGAACCAAGACTGATGGACCATTCTCTAAAATCGCAGAATCAGATGTGCATGATCGAGTGTGCATAAGGTCATTTTCTGAAAATTGACAATGTAGTATAGTAGTCATTTTCTGAAAATTGACAATTTACCTTGCCAAAGTCAAAATGCTTTTCTGATAAATGGCACTTTATAGTGACTAGCTGCTGTTGTATCTGTTTCAACAGTATTCTGATCCTCATTCCCAGTTGTTTTACTCTGATTTAGCACTAAAAATCCTTGACATCCATGTGTTTCTAGTCATGCCATCTGCAGGAACTGCATGCAGATTTTTTAATAGTTTTAGATTGTGAAATTGAGTTTAAGCGCGTTATCTGACCTCTGAATGTTTTGATGGTACAGTGCTTGTAAAATTTGAGTCATGCTAAAATGACATTTCTTGACTTTTGTTGTCACGTTTGTAAATTGTCATCCATTCCCAGTCTCATTAGCATCTTGTATTTTCATTCTGTAGTTCCCATGTATTCGTTTGCATAACATTATATAACAAATGTCCCTTTGCACTGTATTCAGGGTTCTTACTACGTTTTTCCAAAAAGTCCTTCACTGTGGAGCAGAGGGAACAAGTTGAAACATTTTCAAACCCTCCATGCAGCTGGGCGAAACAACAGATTCACCTCCTTGAAATGCAAATCTTGTTTAAGGTGGAAACACGTGAGAAACATGGACTACAAAGAGGTAATGAAGCGTAAGGCAAAAGATTTGGAAATTGGGTTGGTGGAGAAATATCAGGACTATGTGGAATCCATATGGCCATTTTACTGCAGAATGATCAAGTTCTTGAAGAGAGCAAATCTAGTGTAGATTTGGGGATAGAAATGGTTGCAGGGCATGAAAATTGAGATTCTTTTTTTCCTTTATTTCCTTGTTTTGGGGTGAAAAATATTCCCACGGGCAACAATTCCTGAACCCCGTTTTGGAATCTGGGGTTTTTAATCCCTTTGCTCTGCTTTGCCAAATTTGAATTTAGCCTTAATGATTTTTCTGTGGGTTCATAGTGAAGCCTAAATTTCTGATTTTATTATTGTGAAATTATCGACGATCACAAGCGTGCTCGCAACGTAACTTTTTTTTGGTTGTTTTTGCTTCCGTTTTTCATAGAAGAGCTCTCAAAAGCAATTACATTTGATCAGCTTCTTTCAAAAATTGTTCTAACTTGATGAAAGTACTTTCGCAAGTTCAAACATGGCTTGACTTTTTAAAAATCTTGTCAAATGAGCTTTTTTTTTAATTAGGATCAAATTGGAGAGGGAAATCGAAAGATGATTATTATTATTTATTTATTTATTTTTTCCCATCTCACACCTTATTGAAGTTTCTGTGGGTCCAAGCTTAAAAGCTGTGTGACACCGTCATTGCTTCCTGGAGATTTTGGATCGGCCCGCCTTGTGATGCACCTGAGAACTCTTATTAAAACACTGGTGGTGATACAGGAATGATCATTTGATATTTTCTAAATGGCATATAGTCATGAACCAAGACTGATGGACCATTCTCTAAAATCGCAGAATCAGATGTGCATGATCGAGTGTGCATAAGGTCATTTTCTGAAAATTGACAATGTAGTATAGTAGTCATTTTCTGAAAATTGACAATTTACCTTGCCAAAGTCAAAATGCTTTTCTGATAAATGGCACTTTATAGTGACTAGCTGCTGTTGTATCTGTTTCAACAGTATTCTGATCCTCATTCCCAGTTGTTTTACTCTGATTTAGCACTAAAAATCCTTGACATCCATGTGTTTCTAGTCATGCCATCTGCAGGAACTGCATGCAGATTTTTTAATAGTTTTAGATTGTGAAATTGAGTTTAAGCGCGTTATCTGACCTCTGAATGTTTTGATGGTACAGTGCTTGTAAAATTTGAGTCATGCTAAAATGACATTTCTTGACTTTTGTTGTCACGTTTGTAAATTGTCATCCATTCCCAGTCTCATTAGCATCTTGTATTTTCATTCTGTAGTTCCCATGTATTCGTTTGCATAACATTATATAACAAATGTCCCTTTGCACTGTATTCAGGGTTCTTACTACGTTTTTCCAAAAAGTCCTTCACTGTGGAGCAGAGGGAACAAGTTGAAACATTTTCAAACCCTCCATGCAGCTGGGCGAAACAACAGATTCACCTCCTTGAAATGCAAATCTTGTTTAAGGTGGAACTTACATGTAATTATATATGTTCATATGTTTATCTCTCTCTCTCTCTCTCTCTCTCTCTCTCTCTCTCTCTCTCTCTCTCTCTCTATATATATATATATATATATATATATATATATATATATTGTGTGTGTCTATACACATATAGTTCTTAATTCGATCTCTGAAAGATTATAGCTTACAGATATCCTTTTCCAGAACACAAGTAACTTTCAGGGTTTAGAACTGGGCTCTTGCATTTCCCTTTTCCTTTTTCTCATTTGACAGAATTAAAAATGGTAAAACAGCAAGCAAGAAAAACTAAAAAGCCATACATTGAAACCCATTGTACTTATTATGTGTTGTTTGCTGCTGCTAACTCCATTGTCTTTATTTTTCTCCTTTTACAGTTATTTTTTTTCCGTTTCCCGGCATCTGGCCTTTGTCAACTTGTTTTCTTCCTCCACAACATATGGAAAAGCCACGTCCTCCCCCTCTTCTTCCCCTTCTCTGTTTCAGTGACCAAATTGTATGGAGGGGCTATGAGATCAGTGTCAAACCGTAACCTTCAACCATCTTTTCTACCTATCAGTCTATCACTGTGGTACCACTATTTTTTGCTGGACAGTTTTTGATATCTTGGGGTGCAAACTACTGTTTATTACAATGATAAATATCTTTGGAGCATTGCTCCCTCTCTTAGATTATTGTTTCATGGTTAGAAAGATGAAAAGGCCACATCTGATGGATTTTGTGACTTGCGGCTTGCTCTTTTGAAGATTTTTGACTAAAAAAAGTCATCGAACTGTTATTAGGAGACAAGTTTTGAGATGTCAGAAGTATGGAGTCTCTAGGGGTGTGATCAGCTGAGTCCTACCAAGCAATATGTTGCTCTATGCTCAACTTGGTATCGTAAATAGGCCTAAAAAATGCTCAGGCTTGGCTCACTGTTGTTCGAGTCAAGGTTGAATATATTTTCGTATGCCAAAACACATGCAGATCTCGCATGCTATGTTAAATTTACAGTGTATTTAGTAAAAGGAGTATCATATCAATTCGTGGACATTAACTGAAATTGTGTGCAAAGGAGAGACTTGATTCTCTGGTGCATGGTTAATTGGCTAATACCCCTTGTTAAGTCTTTGTCTTCTTTTTTGTGTTAGCCTAGCTTTCCTCACTTATGAGCATACTACTATGATTGAATTGACATGTATTTCTATGTGGAGTTTGAAAGGGAAAGCCTAATATGTCTATGCATCACTGGGATATCAAAACCATTTTTTTTTTTAAATTTATTTTTTCCGTTTCTGATGGTTATTGCATTATTAAATTGTATATTTATTGTGTTGTTATTCTATATCAGGTCATTTTACTTCCTATTCCTAACTATAGTTTGATCAAATGGCCCATTTGCAGTGTAGGAGCTCCTTCTGTCCTTGGAACAAAAACACAGTTATTTAAAATATCTGCTTTTAAAGGTAGCAGTTCTGATGATGCTGGAAGCAGAAGTAGTGGGTCAAAGACCCTGCAGAATCCTGTTAATGTTTCCTATATACGACATGAAAGTGAAGAATCCTCGGTGAAATCTCCGGTTCAGAATATTCCTCTTTCTTGTACATCAACTGCAGATGAGACAGCAATCCAGTCACTGTCTATACAAAATCTATTTAAGAACTGGTTGATGTTATTGCGTGTTACATCACAAAACCAACAAGTGAATGAAGTTCTTGATGAACCTTCATTGGTAGAAACTTTGGAAACACAAAACAGTTTGCGAAAGCTAGAAAGAGTTGTATTACTAAAGGCTGTTTGGTGCTCCTTTTTAGGTCTGGACGCAACAATAAAGATACCTTTATTGATATTGTAAGTCTGATGGTACATCCTTTCTCCGTCTCCAATCTCTTTCTGTGTGTGTAAGCCTGTATATTTTACATGCCTGCTTGCTTGTGATCAATTTCTCTGTTTCCAAAACTAAGGAGATACAGAATTTTGTATGAGAAAAGGTAAAAATATCAGTTTCGATTGAGCACTGATTTGTACTGTATGCCAATGTGTAGAAATTATGTATTTATTTTTTTTGTGTGTGTGTGTGTGTGTGTGTGTGTGTGTTTCAATGGATATTTGGAGCTATTTTACTCTAGACTGAGTTGATTAAATTTCTGTGTTCTAACATGTATTGCTGGTAATTTAACAAGGGAAATAGTTTAATGAATCCAAAGAATGTAGCTTTAAAACTCTAGCTGATATAAGATGTTGCGTAATTTAAATTGTTATATGCATGAGTACAGTTATAATGCAATCTTTGGTAGTTTCTTCCAAATTTTCTCATTATTGCTTCTGAACTGTCAAAGCACGAGTACAACATATATTCTTCATCATTTAGTATTTGTTTAGCTTAAATAAGATATTCAGACAGGTGCAGATCCATAACAGAATGAATATTGCTGTTGACTAATTGTCTCGCTTTTTGTTGTATTTGCAGCTTCCCTTTATACCTGGCAGTTAATTTAGTATATGGATCTGTAGTTTCCAGAGAATTAACCCCTTTATGGGTTCTTGGACCATTAATTGTTGCTCTCTACATTAAGATGGTACAGCTCATTTGTGGGCTCTATTCATTCAGCTTCAAGCAGGCAGTTAAAGTAGTTAAGAACCTGCCCTTCTACTACCTTTTGCTGCATAATTATATTGTGCGTGGGAAGTTTAAAGAAGGCATACGTTCACTTATATGGCAACACGTGAGAAACATGGACTACAAAGAGGTAATGAAGCGTAAGGCAAAAGATTTGGAAATTGGGTTGGTGGAGAAATATCAGGACTATGTGGAATCCATATGGCCATTTTACTGCAGAATGATCAAGTTCTTGAAGAGAGCAAATCTAGTGTAGATTTGGGGATAGAAATGGTTGCAGGGCATGAAAATTGGGATTCTTTTTTTCCTTTATTTCCTTGTTTTGGGGTGAAAAATATTCTCACGGGCAACAATTCCTGAACCCCGTTTTGGAATCTGGGGTTCTTAATCCCTTTGCTCTGCTTTGCCAAATTTGAATTTAGCCTTAATGATTTTTCTGTGGGTTCATAGTGAAGCCTAAATTTCTGATTTTATTATTGTGAAATTATCGATGATCACAAGCGTGCTCGCAACATAACTTTTTTTTGGTTGGTTTTGCTTCCCTTTTTCTTAGAAGAGCTCTCAAAAGCAATTACATTTGATCAGCTTCTTTCAAAAATTGTTCTAACTTGATGAAAGTACTTTCGCAAGTTCAAACATGGCTTGACTTTTTAAAAATCTTGTCAAATGAGCTTTTTTTTTAATTAGGATCAAATTGGAGAGGGAAATCGAAAGATGATTATTATTATTTATTTATTTATTTTTTCCCATCTCACACCTTATTGAAGTTTCTGTGGGTTCATAGTGATGCCTAAATTTCTGATTATCTTAATATGAAATTATCACTGATGATACACACACGGAACTTTTCTTGGTTGATTCTACTTGTATTTTTTGTAAAAGAGCTTTTAGCTTAACAAAGTACTTTTAGAACAAAGAAATAAAAGCAGGTTGACTTTTTAAAAGTCTTGTCCAACAAGCTTTTGTTTAAGAAGGATAAAGCTAGAGATTGAAATTGAAATCGAAAGGTTAATTTTATTTGAGCTTCTCTTACCTGATATCCTTTAAATATTCTTCTCCTCCTACTACTGCCATTATTCCCTCGACGGTCTGCAAAGCTCCTCTTGAGCCTTGCTCGGGAGATTGGGAGTTTCCAACTCTCAACTATGAGCAACATAATTTAAATAAAAGAGAATTTAAGAAGTTAAGGTCTATTTGATTGTAAAGGTGTAAAAAGAAATTCAATCTCATGCAAGTTTAAAAAAAAAAATTTATCAAAATCATAAGAATTCGATTTCCATGAAATTGGTCAAAAACATTCTTTAAGTATTTGTACCTTGGAATTCGAATTCCAACTTCACTTTCGTATCAAACAGTCAAAAGTAGAAAACGAATTTATCGGATGTGATATTTTTCATGGAATTATGTTCTATCAAACGCACCTTTAATGTTTTTCATCTTATTTATTACAATATTACTATTTTTGAAAAAAATTCTTGACGAGAATAAGATCCAATTCTATCAACTTCGTCGACTTCTACCGTAACAAAAAATAATGAAAAGACAAGAAAAAAACTAAAAAGATCCTAGTTTCTTCTACCATGTGAAAAAAATGGACAAAGAACATCTGTAAAGTCGGGCTGGAAAGTCTAAAAAATAGCTGCTTCAAAACTAGAACAACCAAAGAAGCCGCTTTCCATACCTCAGAATCTCCGAATTTCTCCACCACGCACCCCATTTGCTGTCAATTCCTCAAATGGGTTCAGAATTTTCCCAAAATCATATGGGTTCTTCTTAATAGCGTCAAGCATGGATATAGCTTAAGTTTATTGCTGTTTCTTTTCTCGTGGAAAGAAGATTTTTAGGTCTGGACGCAACAATAAAGATACCTTTATTGATATTGTAAGTCTGATGGTACATCCTTTCTCCGTCTCCAATCTCTTTCTGTGTGTGTAAGCCTGTATATTTTACATGCCTGCTTGCTTGTGATCAATTTCTCTGTTTCCAAAACTAAGGAGATACAGAATTTTGTATGAGAAAAGGTAAAAATATCAGTTTCGATTGAGCACTGATTTGTACTGTATGCCAATGTGTAGAAATTATGTATTTATTTTGTGTGTGTGTGTGTGTGTGTGTGTGTGTGTGTGTGTTTCAATGGATATTTGGAGCTATTTTACTCTAGACTGAGTTGATTAAATTTCTGTGTTCTAACATGTATTGCTGGTAATTTAACAAGGGAAATAGTTTAATGAATCCAAAGAATGTAGCTTTAAAACTCTAGCTGATATAAGATGTTGCGTAATTTAAATTGTTATATGCATGAGTACAGTTATAATGCAATCTTTGGTAGTTTCTTCCAAATTTTCTCATTATTGCTTCTGAACTGTCAAAGCACGAGTACAACATATATTCTTCATCATTTAGTATTTGTTTAGCTTAAATAAGATATTCAGACAGGTGCAGATCCATAACAGAATGAATATTGCTGTTGACTAATTGTCTCGCTTTTTGTTGTATTTGCAGCTTCCCTTTATACCTGGCAGTTAATTTAGTATATGGATCTGTAGTTTCCAGAGAATTAACCCCTTTATGGGTTCTTGGACCATTAATTGTTGCTCTCTACATTAAGATGGTACAGCTCATTTGTGGGCTCTATTCATTCAGCTTCAAGCAGGCAGTTAAAGTAGTTAAGAACCTGCCCTTCTACTACCTTTTGCTGCATAATTATATTGTGCGTGGGAAGTTTAAAGAAGGCATACGTTCACTTATATGGCAACACGTGAGAAACATGGACTACAAAGAGGTAATGAAGCGTAAGGCAAAAGATTTGGAAATTGGGTTGGTGGAGAAATATCAGGACTATGTGGAATCCATATGGCCATTTTACTGCAGAATGATCAAGTTCTTGAAGAGAGCAAATCTAGTGTAGATTTGGGGATAGAAATGGTTGCAGGGCATGAAAATTGAGATTCTTTTTTTCCTTTATTTCCTTGTTTTGGGGTGAAAAATATTCCCACGGGCAACAATTCCTGAACCCCGTTTTGGAATCTGGGGTTTTTAATCCCTTTGCTCTGCTTTGCCAAATTTGAATTTAGCCTTAATGATTTTTCTGTGGGTTCATAGTGAAGCCTAAATTTCTGATTTTATTATTGTGAAATTATCGATGATCACAAGCGTGCTCGCAACATAACTTTTTTTTGGTTGGTTTTGCTTCCCTTTTTCTTAGAAGAGCTCTCAAAAGCAATTACATTTGATCAGCTTCTTTCAAAAATTGTTCTAACTTGATGAAAGTACCTTCGCAAGTTCAAACATAGCTTGACTTTTCAAAAATCTTGTCAAACGAGCTTTTTTTTTAATTAGGATCAAATTGGAGAGGGAAATCGAAAGATGATTATTATTATTTATTTATTTATTTTTTCCCATCTCACACCTTATTGAAGTTTCTGTGGGTTCATAGTGATGCCTAAATTTCTGATTATCTTAATATGAAATTATCACTGATGATGCACACACGGAACTTTTCTTGGTTGATTCTACTTGTATTTTTTGTAAAAGAGCTTTTAGCTTAACAAAGTACTTTTAGAACAAAGAAATAAAAGCGGGTTGACTTTTTAAAAGTCTTGTCCAACAAGCGTTTTTTTAAGAAGGATAAAGCTAGAGATGGAAATTGAAATCGAAAGGTTAATTTTATTTTGAGCTTCTCTTACATGATATCCTTTAAATATTCTTCTTCTCCTACTACTGCCATTATTCCCTCGACGGTCTGCAAAGCTCCTCTTGAGCCTTGCTCGGGAGATTGGGAGTTTCCAACTCTCAACTATGAGCAACATAATTTAAATAAAAGAGAATTTAAGAAGTTAAGGTCTATTTGATTGTAAAGGTGTAAAAAGAAATTCAATCTCATGCAAGTTTAAAAAAAAAAATTTATCAAAATCATAAGAATTCGATTTCCATGAAATTGGTCAAAAACATTCTTTAAGTATTTGTACCTTGGAATTCGAATTCCAACTTCACTTTCGTATCAAACAGTCAAAAGTAGAAAACGAATTTATCGGATGTGATATTTTTCATGGAATTATGTTCTATCAAACGCACCTTTAATGTTTTTCATCTTATTTATTACAATATTACTATTTTTGAAAAAATTTCTTGACGAGAATAAGATCCAATTCTATCAACTTCGTCGACTTCTACCGTAACAAAGAATAATGAAAAGACAAGAAAAAAACTAAAAAGATCCTAGTTTCTTCTACCATGTGAAAAAAATGGACAAAGAACATCTGTAAAGTCGGGCTGGAAAGTCTAAAAAATAGCTGCTTCAAAACTAGAACAACCAAAGAAGCCGCTTTCCATACCTCAGAATCTCCGAATTTCTCCACCACGCACCCCATTTGCTGTCAATTCCTCAAATGGGTTCAGAATTTTCCCAAAATCATATGGGTTCTTCTTAATAGCGTCAAGCATGGATATAGCTTAAGTTTATTGCTGTTTCTTTTCTCGTGGAAAGAAGTATGGAATTTAAGATGAAAATTGGTTCTTCATTTTCCTGTATATCCACCTCGCTTTGTTCACCTTTTCGAATTAAAGCGGCTACAAAGGTATCTGTATCAGTATATGTTTTTCATCGCTCGTATTTAACTACACATTTCTGCTTTTTCTGTTTGGTGATTCTGAGAGGCTTATTGGAAAAAAAAATCGTGATTATTTGTTTTCTAAATGATTGAGATTTTAGCAGTGTTTTGTGGTTAAGCAATGCACAAATGTGCATTTGAATTTTTTTAGTTGTGATGCCGAAAGCTGTTATTTTATTCAGGAAAAAAAACGTGAGTCAATTCAAAGATCCAACCGTTTACAGGAAAGCCGAAAGCTGTTATTGTCGGGTTTAAGTCCCTTAAATTTTTCTTTGGAGCAATCAAGGATCCAACTGTTTTTGGGTCAATTAGGAGTCCGATCTTATGCTTTCATTCCCTGCTAATCTCTGAATATTGTTATAGCCTTGGGCATGCAGAATACGAGCCTTTTTGGACTCTGGTATCAATAGGTCAAGGGTCAACTGTGAATAAGCTTATAAATCAGTGATATAATGGTATGCTTATCATTATTACTACAAAAAAGTTAGATTTCCATGTTAACTCTAGCATCAAGAGCGAACTATGGATTGCGGATTATCTATCATTCAGTGATGTGATGATATGCTTATTTATACAACTGTGTTAGTTTGGATAAGTAAGGTTTGAATATTAATATCACTAAGAACCTAATTTGGAATTTTTGGAGTCAAAATTGAGATGAACGTATTGGAGTTGCTTGATATGCAAGAGCTTGTAATATTTATGGGAAAAACAGTTTTCGTGAATTCGTGCCTTTTGTATTATTGTAGAAGCTTTGAACTTGAACAACTTATCTCTTTTACTTTTTACCTCCTGCTTAGTTAAGCTATTTTAATGGAGAACAAGTAATGTCAATCCATTGTTTTATCACTTCAGTCAGTTTATTTCATTGATGGAGTATATAATTCCATTTAACCCAAATTGATATCAGTGTCAATATATTCCTCCTTTTCTTCGCTTTAATAGTTTTAAGTGTGTGCATATATGCATAGGTTTCTTTCTTTCTTTTTTTTCCCTGTTCAATTTATTTTTTTCTTTAAATATTTTTTAATCTTAATCATATAATGTTATTGAAAAAGAATGCTTCTGACTCCTGCCTGTTGGTCTTCAGTTGATCTCAAGGCTACAATTGTTTGAGAGACAGCTATGCGATACAGATCAGTTGAGACACTCTAAAGGTAACTATTTTATCATGTTAAAATTGCCTAATGGATCATTTTTATAAAAGATGCAACTTACTTTTCTCAATCTTCTTAGAAGCATCAATGGTGCAGTTTAGCTTACCTAAAATGTAGTGATATTTACTGATAAATAAACTACATTTATAATTATGGCCTTTTAAGAGTTTCTTATCCAGTGGATTGTCACTGCAAGTTCTGATTTTGTTTGTTCAAGGATTACTATGATCAAATCGGTTGGCTTTAGTCAACATTTATTTGATTTTTTATATCATGACGCGTCTAAAACTTTACTCTAAATATCCTCTTTTCCTTCTGCAAGTTCTTAAATCATGCCAGCTCATAGATGGAAAGCTAACAGTGATAGAAAGGTTATCAAAGAGGCGATGTATTCTCTTTGCTACAACTGATGATCAGCTATCATACAGTGAGCTTGAAACTGATGATTTTGAGCAGGAAATTCAAGCCCCTCTTGCTGAAGATGCCTCCCCCACAAAATACCTCCATATTGAAGGATCTGAAGGAAAACCAGGCTTTATATCATTTTACAATCGTCCTCGCCGGAAAGAACATGAAATCTTGGTGTCTACCGCTGGGAAAAATCAAAATAGTCTATTGTGGTTCGTCGGTCCCACTATCCTCGTAGCCTCTTTCATTGTTCCTTCACTTTATTTGCGCAAGATACTCTCCACTATATTTGAGGACTCTCTATTAACCGGTAAGCAAAACTTGTGCTAGTTTGAGCTACTTTCTTGGTACCTCTCTTGCTGATGTTATTGCTTGTTTTCTAATGCCTGCATCATCGTCATCATTAACTTTATTCCTCTTTTTGAGTAAAAAACCAAATTTATAGCAATAAATAAGTACTTCTTGATATAGATTACTTGCTATGCCTAATTCTGCTTTTCCTGATTTCATTTTTTGTTATTTAGATGCTAATAGTCTAAAGTTAGATGTCTTGATTTCACTTGAAGGTTACTGAAGCCATTTGAAGGTCCTATGAACCTGTTACAGAAGTTCTCTTACTGCATAATAGAACATTGACGTTCTGCTTTTCCTGATTTCATTTTTTGTTATTTAAATGCTAATAGTCTAAAGTTAGATGTCTTGATTTCACTTGAAGGTTACTGAAGCCATTTGAAGGTCCTATGAACCTGTTACAGAAGTTCTCTTACTGCATAATAGAACATTGACGTTCTGCTGTTTGATAGCATTGTCTAATGGAGCTTTGGTACTATAAATTCTGTGTTTCTTGGTTACCCTTCTATATTGTTTTCCCTCGAAAATTCTGAAAGGATTTACTAGTCTTTCAGAGCTTAAGCCTGTATGAAGCTTCTTTGTCTTCTGCTATTTTAGATATTCCAAACCCAGTTGGAATAGTTGATGTAATTCATATTGCAATGTGGAAAAAAGTGACGAGTGAAGGTTGCTGATAACAGATGGATGATGATAAATCTTTAGATACACTGTTGAGTGAAGTTAGATGTTTCCTGTTGTTTGATCTAAAAAATATGTTAGCTTAAAAGCGTAGGAGCAGCTAAATTCAGTTCAGACAAGGTCCGAGGAGTGTTAGATACGTGTTTGAGTATGTCTGGAGATTGTTAGCACCAAGCTGCCAACATATAAGCTTAGAGCATATTTGCTTTCCAGTGTGACCATCCATTAAATGAAAGTAGCCCCTATCATATACACAGTTCATTTGATGATCTTACACCAGAAAAATTGCAGTGGCGTGGAAACAAAATTTGCTGATTGCATAGTTTTCATTGTTGTCATCGGATAAGTTTATATGCTCGTAAATAGAGCATAAACTTTTATCACATGTAGCATCATAGTTCTTGAAACCACTTAGATTTTTCTATGCTAAATGGTAGGCTACTTCAGAGTTCAACTAGGTCAGGGAAAGGAAAAACAAATTATTGCAGATATTATCATGTCTTGTGGTTGATCTATTCCGACTTCTTTTTTGTATTAGGATATAGGCATTAAAAGTATTTGCTTGTTTTGGCAGACTTTCTAATATTATTCTTCACGGAGGCAATCTTTTACTGTGGAGTTGCTGTGCTTCTTCTCCTAATAGACCATTTCCATTTGAGGAGACCTATTGCGCCCCTATCCACAGACATAAGCCATACACCGCATTTGGGACACAGAATCTCTTCCGTTGCTGTCTTGGTTCTTAGTCTTATAATTCCAATGGTGACTATGGGTTTTGTTTGGCCGTGGACTGGCCCTGCAGCTTCTGCTACTCTTGCTCCCTACCTTGTTGGTCTTGTTGTCCAGTTTGCATTCGAGCAGTATGCAAGACATATTATGTCTCCTTCATGGCATGTCATTCCCATTATATTTCAGGTAAGAACACTGACCTTTCATTTCAACTTAGTTCAGAATCATGCAGAACTTTTCATAGAATTGAATTTAAACTATTTTTATCTTGTTATCATGGTCGTGTTAATTGGAAATGTAATTAATATTGGTTAAGTTAGGACTCTAGGAAATTTCATTTTTGGTCCCCCACTTTATTATAATTATCTTGGAGTCCTTCAACTATTTAAATTTGAGTTAATCCCGACAAGAAGTTCACCATGAATTAATGATGCATTTGCTTTTCACTTTCGACACTCTGCAGGTTTATAGATTACACCAGCTGAATAGGGCAGCACAACTGGTGACGGCTCTCTCTTTCACAGTGAGAGGAGCCGAGATGACGTCACAGAACTTGGCAATAAACGGCTCATTAAGTACACTACTGAATGTCCTCCAGTTTCTTGGCGTCATCTCTATCTGGTCGCTTGCTAGTTTTATCATGCGATATTTTCCATCTGCCACCTCAACTGAACCGTAAGTAGTGGAAATAAAAACTGAAGATAGACTCGACATGGTGAAATTGAATAAGTTAGAAATCTTGAAGGTTGGATTAGCCAGACGTCTTTGTGTGAAGTTCTTCATCATTTACTTGGTTTGCTATCGTAGGAATCTGAAATAGATGAATATGAACGAATATCACCTTGCATATTGATCACTGTCTCTAGAAAATGAGGATGAATAGTATAAAAGGGCTCAATAAATTTGCAGCATTCGTGATTCAGTTTATGGGATCTTTTCATTCCAAGAATGTCATTTAGCTTCTACATGATTTATTAATCTCGACCGACAATAATGTTCGTCGAACGTTTTCTTGAGAATCTGGTGACTTTCTGAGTCCTATATGCTCATTTTTTGCTGTTGTGTTCTTCCATTTAGATGTAGACTTCAGTTTCAGGTTGTTACACTTTGACTCTTTGCTTGTCCTAAATCTTGTAAATTTCCTTCTTCTTCTTTTTTTTTTTTAATTATCGTTAAATGTAAATATCATTGATTAAAAATATTTTTTTTAATTATCGGTAAATGTAAATATCATTGATTAAAAATGTTCCATATACAAGTACACTGGGCATTCCTGGGCAAATCAAAAGTCAATATCACATACAATTACTCTGGGCATACTCGGGAGATACAAAAAGAGTGAAAGTGCACCAAATCAATGACCTAACACTAAGGATTCGAAATGGATTAAGACATCCGGATACAAGGAGAACATAAGTTTGTATCTGTGTATCTTGATCCGTTTCACAATACAATCCAAGTTAGGTGAAATGTCTTCAAAAATCTTCCTACTACGTGTTAACCAAAGGTAATAGACGGTACTTGCAAGTGCTATCCTCTTAGCTTTGCTTCGTCAAGATGTCCCTCGAGCTTCTTTTTTTATCCACTTAAGAGAGCTAGCTATTGTTGACATAGATCTCCTGATGCTGAGCCATTTTCTAATATTCTCCCATACGATCGATGTGAAAGAACATTCAAAGAATAGATGACAGCTCATCTCCTCCTTTTGTCCACAAAGAACACAATTACGATAGATATCCAAAAAATGCAATTTGTCTTTAATTAGGAGTTTTGATTGGACCCCTAATCAAAGCAAAAAAGAGTGCTTCAGAGTGATGCAAGAGCTCCAAACATCGGCTGCCCACGCCTTCTTTGGACCTCTCAGCCTGAAGAAGTCATAGGCCAATTTTATGCAAAATTTCCCCCCTGCCGACCAGCTTAGTAATCTGTCCAGCCCTGCCTGTTTTCAGTCATTATTTCCCCCAGTCGGCCAGATTAATCGGTCACTGTTTTGTGGCACCACAGCAGCCTTACTTGAGGCTGATCCTGCATACATTAACCGGTAATTTTCACCGTCCAGCTCAGCTGAAGACACGGTTTGTCCATGCAAAAGAACCTGGGAAGCAGTCACATTCAGTTTCAATAAATTTCTGATTTCCGGCAATTTTTTGAAAAGTTGGGAATGATCTTTTCTAGGAATAACATCTCAAATGCACGTCCCTTGAAGATAGACTCGATGAACCCACCAAATCCAAAGAGTATCCTTTTTTTGTTGGATATTCCAAAGGGATTTAGTAAGTAATGCTAAATTCCAATTCTTTAAGTCCTTCAATCTGAGGCCGCCTTCATCTTTTGGAAGGCAAAGATCCTTCCAAGCAATCAAAGGCTTCTTTGATTTCCAAAGGAATTTTCGATAAAGGCTAACAATCCTTGATGTAATTGTAGTCAGGATGGAGAAGATAGAAAGCCAAAAAACATTCAACACCTTGAAGAACCGCCCTAATAAGTTCCAACTTGCCCGTATAAGATAATGAGGAATAATTCCATGTAGCAATATAAGTTGTAATTTTATCAAGAAATGGAGCATAACAACTTATTTTAAGTTTTCCCGAAGCAAGAGGAATGCCCAAATACCGAAATGGCTTACTACCCCTTGGGATATTTGTCAATTGAAAGATATCCCCAAGCGCTTGACCATGAACACCAGTTGTATGCAAGTTGGATTTAAGGATGTTCAATCTTAAACCCAATACAAAACCAAAATTGGAGAGACAATCCATGAGAATTTTTACCGACATAACATCTTCCCTAGCAAAGAGTATCAAATAATCCGCAAAAGCTAAATGGGTGATCTTAAGGGGGCCACACTTAGGGAGATAATTGAAATTATGTACAAGTAGCTTTTCCTTTAAATTTTACCTATTCAAATTTGCCAAAGTCTTTATATTATATGAATTTTGCTACTTTGTTTGAATTTTTTTGCCCGAATGGTTGACATCCTCTCACATGTTGTGAGTCCCGCTTGAATAGAAAGTCCAAAAAAAAGTGGGGCTCCTGCCACTGTGAGAGTCAATCATCCCCTCTATCACAATCCTGCTACAGTGCCTAAATTTTTTTGATATGAAAATAGTTAATATTATTTTTATGGGAATTGACCCGTCGGTTGAACCTCCGAGTCGCTGGTTAAACCACTGACCCATTGACCCACTACATTGTTCTGGTCGATACCTGGGTCGTGTCTGACAACTGTGCTAGTATGTTCTTTTGTTATGATAGTACCAATTCAAACTATCAGTCAAATTTTCCTATGGCCTTGGTTTGTCATTTGATAGAATAGCATTTGTTGGGACAGCTTTGCTTGGTGTACATAATTTTTTGTACATCAAGGTGTTCCACACTCACATGGGGTGGGGCCCACTCAAATAAAAAGATTAAATAGATAATTAGCACCATTTTGGAGTAATTAGAATGAAGCTTGGCTGCTTGGGTGAAACTAATCCTAGTTTGATTCACGTTATTTTAAAACTCATTTTTTTCTCAAATTTATTTTCAACCACACATTCTCACAATAAAATATTTTACACTTAAACTCAAAACTTTTTTGTACTTCTTAGCTACACATTCTTCTAAAATTCATTATTACAAAACTCATTTTGATGAAATGATAGGCATCAAACAGGGGGCTAAGTGAAAATCTGAACCGATTTATATTCTTTATATCTCACCTCGTAATCAATTATTGAATCCAATGTCATTTTTCTACACTGAGTCTACTAAGGATTGAACTTTAATCACTACTTTATAAAGTAATAATATGAAATTATCATTGCATGCGCACAAATATATAGTGGCTCCCCTTCAATGTGAAAATGATGTCCATCTTGCCTGGTACCAGGAAATTTCATGCTTCATGCAATCCTTACCAGGTTTTGACTTAAGAACTGCAGCAGAAAATCTGAACATCCAGTCTTGTTTGAAAATTAGGTTAGTGAGCTTCCTAAATAACTAAGTTGTAACTATTTCCCTCGAAGCAAGTAAATTAGGTGCAAGGCTCCCGCATTTGAAAATGAAGCGAAAGGAAATGAAAAACGAGGTTAAGTTTGCTAATGCAAAGAAGAGCATTTCTCCACTTCCGCCATCGTTGCCATCACTTCCGAGGTTTGTTGGTACACAGAAATGAATGATTATGTCCCCGACTAAGCAAGAGATTGCTAGTTATTGGGAGAAGAAGATAGTGGTTGAGGAAGATCACCTACTTGCAGCTATAAGGGATGTATCCCATATCAGGGCCAAGAAACTCTTAGTAAGTTCTATCTATCTTGAAACATGTCATTTAACAGCTTATATCGGAAGAAGAGACACATTTATTCATTTAAATTTACATCTTCAAACTGTCCTTTCAAGTATAGGCCAGATTCATTACTTTCGTAGACATGTCAAAATTTTCATTCATGGATTGCCAAATATTCTGATATGTTAAGCTTTTAAATGAAGTAGTTCATCATGATCTAACTCTCAGTATGTTTGCTTTGTCGAATAAAACCTTTGATTCCCTGCAAACGATCTGAGTTCTCAACTAAATATAACTGTTTCAGGTCGAGTAATATCAAAATACTTGTTTCTAATTGAAAAAAATGGAATGGAATACAAGAGCATATTCGATATACTGGACTGAATAGAAACACGATTCAAGAACATATACATACGACAGAAACTTTTATACTGAAATTGTAACTCTGTTCAGGTGAAGTACAGTGCTCTGGAGGATAATTACAAACCATATGAAAAGTCCTGCAAGAAAGATGATCATGGTAAGAAAATTGACAAAGCACCAAAATTTCTGGTGAAGAAGATGAAAAGAATGAGATAAGAGTGGTATTAAGGACTGGTAACTCTAATTATCTACTCAAAAATTTGGAATAGCTCATGTAAATCTTTTCTCTCACTCATTCTATTATTATACACACAAGGTTGCGAATATTGAAAACTCTAATAAAACTTTCGATCCTTCTTGTTTTTGAAAGCAGAGTTTCTTAAGTATCGTATCGTGTAGCATTTCTATTTTCACTTTCACGATCTTACAACTTTGTTTGTTTCGTGCATACGAAAATGTTGCAGATATGAAATTTCAAACTCAAATTGCTCAAAATTGAAATTTTGTTTGAAGGATATATAAATATATTTATTGAATTTATATGTGCAGGTTGACTAAGAAATATGTATACCTAAGTCAACCAGCAATAAAATCCATGGATATAAACAGAAGAAAATCTTCCACTTACATTTCCCAATACTTCGCCCCTTAAAATGTGTGGTTGAAAAGTTGTGGGATCCGTGAAAAATATAGTTAATTTTAATTGTTTGACTTTGATTTAGATTAAAATTAAATTTTAATCAAAACCAAACATGGTTTTTTTTACTAGTAAGTTATTATAGAAAGTTTGTTATAATTAAAAAAAAAAAAAAAAAAAAAAAAAAAAAAAAGGTTGAACCCCAATGTTGAGGGTCTCCACCGCGCCGCCCCGCCCCTAGAGTTTTGTGAGGGAGGTAAATCGCGGGATGTGTTCCAGCAGGTCAGGGAACAAGAGCTGTTTGTACACTGCACCTACAAGGAGTCCAATTTCATGTCTCAAGAATCGAACCCCCACACTGCGGTTGCCAGCAAGGCGTGAAATAACCTCACTCCTGTCCTTTGCACCATTGAACTATGCTCCGAGGGGAAAAGTTTGTTATAATTAATCATACAGAGTGGTGTCAACAACTTAAGACTTATGTTTGCTCAAATAAAGTACCTTTTTCTTCTTCTTCTATGCTTCCAATGCTAAGTCAAATTTACTAATAAACTTAGAACTGTTAAAATGAATCAATTTACATGACATTTGAAAGGCCTAAATAGATCATGATCTTGTTCAAAGTGCGTCATGTCGTGTGTTCAGTCGAACTATAAGGACTTTTGGCTCGCTTAGGCCATTGCAGCCGAGGTTATATCGAAAGCAAAAGGTTTGTAGAGAGCAAGAAGCTGTGGGCACAACACAGAATTGTACCAAGTCGATGCCTAAAAAATTGTAAGGTGTGGAGGCAATCTTAGATCAATCTTCAATATATCAAAAATGACGCCTTCTCACCATTTTTCACTAAATGTAAAAATTATTACTTTTTCACAAATTCAATGCAATTAATAATTGCCCATGAATTTATATTGGGAAATCAACACTTTTTATCTTCATTTTTTGCAATTTATTATTAATCTATCTTCTAACTTTTTTTTAAAAAATCTTTTTTTAATTTTAATTTTAATTTTTATTTATTTTTATTTTTGGTTTAACATCAAACATTCTCAACCTTTTGAAAATATAGCAAAATTCTTCATTCCGTACATTTTAGCAGTTAAATTGTTAAATTCACATAAAATGACGAATTTACCCACTCTTTAAATAAATACATAAAAAGTTAGCAATTAAATAAATAATAAACTAAAAATTGCAGCAAGAATTCTAAAATCTTTTCAAAATGAACAGATAAATCACAAATTAAAAATAATTGACAAAAAAAAAAAATAAAAAAAATCTTCTTCTACAATCCCATCCAAACCACCAACCAGCCTACTACCACCACCGCTACCCAACGCCACCACCCATGGTCACCATCACAACGCCACCACACCCCAACTATAATAAATACCCCTCAAACCCACAATGCTAACTACCGTCTTCAGCAATTGGGTCCCTAGTCCTCAATTAAAAACTACATGGGCCTCGTCAAAGCCTATCATCAAAATCCCTTTCCAAAAATTCTTAGAGTGCGTTTGATTGATATAAAAATATTATTTAGAAATGAAAATATTTTTCTTCTTTTGTGGAAAATAAAAATCACCTCCACCCAAGGAAAATATTTTCCTAAAAAACAAGAAAAATTAAGCATATTTACAAAAGTTGGAAAATATTTTTTTATGGAAAAAAATAGTAATCAAACACTTCAAGTAGGAATTTGAGTGGAAAATTAAGATTTTTCATGGAAAATAAATATAATCAAATACACCATAAGGGTCTGTTTGATTGCAAAGATGAAATTTGGATGAAAAGAAAATGAATTCCAGGGAATTGAATTGCTTAAAAATTGTTTTATTGGGAATTGTCAATTGATAGTGTTTGATTGATATAATTTTCTAGGTGGAAAAATATTGAAATAAAAGTGTCTTTTAGTATTCGTTTGACTTTATTTTTCATGAAAATTGTCAATTTAAGGAATATCAACTTCTACTATTGTTCCTAGAATTTGTTTCTATTGCCAACAAAAAAAAAAGATTCAAAAATCATCTATATTTTGATATTCGTTTGACTTTGTTTTACATAAAAATTGTCAATTTAAGAACTATCCTCTTTTACAATTGTTCCTACAATTTGTTCACATTGTCAACAATTAAAAAAAAAAACAAAAAAAAAGTTGGAATTTCAAAAACCACCTACCCCATGGAAAAATAAAAGGTGGAATTTCATGCTTTATCGGCTTGTACCTAGAAAATCATGAAAAATCAATTCTCTGGAAAATTTTGTTAATCAAACGGATCAAAAGTGGAAGTTGGAATTCGAATTCCAAGTTCCATGAAAAATATAGTGTAATCAAACAGGGCCTAATTGTTTACAAATTCCTAGCTCGACCTGAAAAAAACTCGAACGGCTCGACCTGAAAAAAGCTCTAGCCTGCCTAGCTCACCGCTCGATAGAATCGAGTCGATGCTTAGACTGAGCCCATTTTGGGGAGTTAGCCCGAGTCCTAACCCGTCACACACGTAGGCCCGTGTCACGGGCCATTTTCGGCTCTTGACGAGTGAGTCTTAAAAAAAAATTTAATTAAAAAGCTGCCTAGACAGGCAGCTCGTAGCCTGCTTGTAGCTGACCGTGTTAGCAAGTTGCCTTGCATAGGCAACTAAAGTTGCTGCCGCCTGTTATTAAAAAAAAAAATTTTGTTATTAAAATAAGGACGTGAGTCGGCTCAATTCAATAAGGCCTGAGTCGAAAGCTAGGGTCGGGCATAAATTTTTTGGCCGAGCAAAAACTCTATTCGACTCCAACAAAAAAACTGCAACCATTTTCACTAGAGTCAAGTTCGAGTTTCAAGTTTCGACTCGACTCATTGACATTCATGTGCCTTCTTTCGCATCAATCTATAATTAAAGCTTCAAATTTTAAACCCTAGCTCAATTCAGTTTTAGACGTTAAAAAATGGAATATGTTACTTGTACATAAAAATGATACACAAGGAATTATATAAAGTGATGTGGATGAAAATGATTTGACGAAAAAATTGACTATATTTTAAATTGACAAATGATAGAGTAACATGTGTTATTACGTAACCCATCATGTAAAATTTGTGATGGAAAAATCCTTAAAAAATTCTAAGCACAAGGCGTACCATTTAATTGACGAATTATTATAAGTAAACAAATAAATAAAGGACCCTAAACCTGAAGAAAGGACCCCGGAGAAAGGAAGACTCTAGCGAGACGCCGAGACCTTGAAAACTTGCACCTAAACTTTTTCGTCGTCGTCGTTGTTGTTATTATTATTTTATTATTTATTTTTTTCCAATTTCTGGACAATATGATTTTTTTATTATTATTATTTTCAATTTGTGCCTGATAAATTGAAGGTTTGAGGTCAATTTTCACACGCTGATATTCCCAGGTTGCCTATCAACAAACTTAAGGTAAGTAACTGACGCCACACTTTCATCCCCTCGCATTCTACATATATCTACGCACACGCACGCATTTCTTTCTTGGAGGGAGCACACAATTTACAGATCATTAACCCATTTTGTGTTTTTGATTCTGGTTATTATGAGGTATAGGATTCCACGATGTGTTTGTTGAAATGCCTGAATGGAATTGACCTTTTAATTCAATTTTTTTTGATTGTTATATTTAGTTTGAATTCAATATATATGGACGTGGGACATAGCTACTTAGAGGGCAACGCGGATGCAGTCGAGTTCTGTCCTCATGATTCATTCCATAATGTTCTCGCAGCCTCTACTTACACTCTTCAAGAGGGTGATCAACCCAGCCGAGCAGGCTGCATTTATCTCTTTGATGTCGACACTGATGCTTGCCGACTCAACTTGACTCATCGACTGGAAACAGCTGGCATTTTTGACATCAAATGGAATTCGGGATTTGTGCAAAATATGGGCCACCCTCTGCTTGCTCAAGCTGATGCTGATGGATATGTTAGGATTCATAGCCTGCAAAGTTCTGATTTAGATGAATCAGATGTTTGTGGTATACTCAAGTTTTACGTTACTTGGTATAATCTTGAGTGGTCCAATTTTAGTGCAAATACCTCTCTCGTAATACTAGTACTAGTACTAGAAATAAAGAGCTTAATTCAACTATTGGATTCATTTACAATGAAATTCATGCATGGATAAGGTAGATAGTACCACTGAAGCCTTTTATCTGAAAAAGAGTATTAGTTTCCTCGGAGAATATGACGTGAAATAGGAGCCATTAGTTGTTTGTTTTCTCCCTTTAATATAAGTTCGTATTATACATGTCTAAGAAAATACTCTTTTGTCAAACGGGAAGAATGAAAATCCTTAATTTTTCCAGAGAAAGTTGTAAACTGTAGATTGTGGAACATATTAAACGGGCATTATGTACCTATTCTTGCAAAAAGTAAATTAGTTCACTCAGTTTAGATGTCAGATAACATGGTAATTAATCCCTATAAAATGATCCCTAAGAACGAGTTATCAATTCCTATAAAATGATCGACAACCAAGTCAAGAGCATGTTTGGCTAAGCTTAAACACATGTTAAGTTACTTCTATGTAACTCTCTTGTTTTCAGACATGATTGGATAATTTATTCTTTTCTTAATTTTCTGTAAAAGAACTTGATTATTGTGAAATGAACTATGACCTTACTATCAAAATAACCTACTTATTTCCATTTCCATTTTGGATCAAAGAAATTATCTACTGTACAAAATTTCTTAATTACTTATAAGTTTCTGCTACTTCACATATGCAGTATTTTGTTATTGAATGAACTGCCACATATGAGATCTTATTCTTGATGCAGGGAATTGCCTGAAAGTAGTATGTGGCAAGCATATCAGTTCTTCCATGTGTTTGTGCATCGACTGGAATCCCTCTTCCACATCCATGACGGTGGGCCTTTCAGACGGGTCGGTCTCTATAATCTCTATGCAAGAGTCCCAGCTAAGTATTTTACAAGACTGGAAAGCTCATGAATTCGAGGTCTGGGCTACTTCCTTCGATGTTCATCAACCGCAACTAATATATACGGGATCAGATGACTGCAAGTTTAGTTGTTGGGATTGGCGAGACGATCCTTCTAACTCAGTATTCCAAAATGCAAAAGTTCACAAAATGGGAATCTGTAGTATTGCAAAGAGTCCTAATGACCCGAATATTGTACTCACCGGTTGCTATGATGAGCATCTAAGAATATGGGATGTCAGATCCATTTCATATCCCATAAGTGAAACTTCAATATCTCTAGGTGGAGGAGTTTGGAGAGTTAAGCACCATCCATTTATACCAGGCCTCATCTTGACTGCGTGCATGCATAATGGATTTGCAATAGTCAAAATTAAAGATGGTCAAGCTGAAGTAATTGAAACATACAAGAAACATGATTCGCTTGCATATGGAGCAGATTGGCAGAGAGGGGTTTCGTATGCGGCAGGAAGAAGGAAGAGTAAAGCGATCGCCACTTGCTCATTTTATGACCGGCTCCTTCGCGTATGGATACCAGAAGGTGATATCTTTCATTGACTTTGAAATCATCATAGACACACTTGAGAAATTTGGACCATTGATGGAAGATGAGAAGGTCGAGATATTTCTCTTTAAGCAGAACCCAATTCTCAATCTGTAAGAATATGTTGCAAGAAAGAGAGAATGTCAAGATGGGTTCAATGTTCAGTTCAGACAGAAATAGAGTAGAGAGCAAATTGAGATGGCTCTTGCCAAAGCTAAGTAGATTGTTAACTCCAACGCTACTGTTGTTTTTAGGTTGTCCCTCTTTTCTCATATTTTAATCATTCTTAAAATAACATGTATAAGATGAATTGGTTGTATTAATTTGATGAAAGATTCATGGTGTTACATTTTTTTTTTTTTTTTGTTTTTTTTGTTTTTTTTCCTTCCCCTTGGACAATTGGTTCAAAATGTACAAGGAGTTTTGCCAATTTTTTTTATGAACTTCTAATGTCTTAGATATTTTTCTGGGTATATTTGTTTTTGGAATGATCCCCTCATTTTTATTAGATATATCTTGTGCTCTGTTGGTATCAAGATCTTGTTTAAAATTATATTTTCAGAAATAAACATATTAAAAATTGCAGAAATGTAAAAACAAGAACACGAAGAATTTTTTTGCCACAAAGGGCCCGGATGTTGAGTCTCACAACTTACTCACCCGTTGAGCATCTACAAGTGGATAGAGCTCTAGATCCACTAAGAAATCATTAAGAAAAGTTACAATATGTACTAAGAAATCAGAGATTTCTTCGATGTTTCTCTAGCCTCAACACACAGTACAAAATCACACCAAATCACTAAGAACTTTTTTCACAATATACATCAAGTGTAGAATCTAAGATTCACTCAGATTTTCAGATCAAGAAACTCACAAAGAATATACGGTGTGGTTAGAGAGAAAAAGGAGAGAAAAGCCTAACACATAGAGTTCAATAGACAACCAAGTGTGTCGCCAAACAATACTTTAAACAATCAGTCAAAGAGCCACGGGTCAACGGTCAGAAGATGGCCAAGTGTACGACCTGATCAAGCATCAATTAAATGAAGATGCGCGTTTAAAAGGAATAACGTTTTCTTCATCCTGGTTGGACATTTTTCCACACTCAGAAACATAGGCCCAAATATTATGGACCAAGAATATAAGGCAACCCAATTACTTAACATGCTCTATATCATCTTGGACTCTTGGTGTATGTTTATTTATTGTCAATTTTGTGCCTTCTTGACGTTATCTCTAGAAAGTTAGAGAGTTGATATCTAGTACAATTTTTTCACAATTGACAAATTCAATTATTGTAAAGTACAAATAGTGAATATAGAGACATGGACTAACTCTATTGAAATTTAATTTCAAGATCAACTCTTGAGCATCTTACATTTAAAGAGTTTCTGAGATATTTTAAAATCCGTTTGATTACAATTTTCCTATGGGAACCAGTGGCGGATCCAGGTAGTGGCGAGCTAGAGCGGCCACCCTAGCTAGATCCGTCGAAATGTTCAGACCGCCGAGAATGGAGTTGCAGACGCAACATGGACGGAGATGGAGGAAAACAGGAAGAAAACTGGGCCCGTCACCTGTGCCTTTTTTATTTTGTTGTTGGGCTGATTTGCTTCGCAATGGGTCTCTTTTTGCTTAAAAATCATAGGCCCAAATCAAATACCCAATGAATTGTCTTGGTCCATAAATCATAATCCATGTAATTTCAATTTCCCTTCAACACCAAATTTCATTTCGTTTCCACCAAATCGTGAAACTGTGAAAGGCAATTGGCAGGCGGCAACAATACAGAATCCTCCAAGAATCTGCTGCTTCTGATTTCTAATTCCACCGCTGATGCCAAAGGTGGCAAGAAAAGCCCCACCATGACAAAGAAAGATGCCTTTGCTACCATTTCTTACATGGTTTGTGTTGGTTAGTTACAACTTTCTTTTCTTCCTCAGGATTACCAGTTTATGACATGTTATCTATGTTCTTTTCCAGCTTAAATTTGTGTTTTCTAGCTTAAATTTGGGATTTCATTTTAGCGTATGTGATAAGTGGGTGTGTACCGGTGTTAAGAGTTCCCGAAGGCCATGTTGTTTTTTGAAGTAATATTTATTTATTTATTTCTTACTTTTGTATCAAGATGACAGCAATAGAGCACTTTTCTTCCAAATAATATTTGTCTCAGTATTATGTTATGTCTTACTTTTATGATTATTACTAACCATTTTCGTTATTAAAAATTATTGAAATCCGTGGTTGGTCCCTAATCTATTGAGAAAGTAGAAGTGGGTGCTGACCTTTCAAAATAGGTGCAAAACCAGTCCTCACAGATATTTATATTAACACTCCTTGCCTTTTCAATTATTACATAATCATGCTAAAACATTTAGAGCATGACTACGATAAATTTCAAAATGTGACAGAGTAGAAATGTTTTGAGATTATATAAAAAAAAAAAAATTAAAGAAAATGTTACTTAATCAAGCTATACAAATAAAAGAAAAAAAAACTTTAATTTTCTTATTCAAAACTGAACACATACAATACTTTTGATGGTCAACGGTCGAGCTCCACCCTAACTGGACTTCGGTGCTGGATTCGCCACTAATGGGAACGTGTGATATATGTGTATTTGACACAGTTGATGGGATCGTCTATGGAGATTGCTTATAAAATTGTTGAAGGAATAAGACTCAACAAAAATGATAATTGATCTTTTGTTGAGAAATAATAGAACAATCCAAAACTGTGTGTTAATTTTTCCGGGTTGATTCTTGAGTTTAGCCTTTGGCATATTGTCGACTACTAGCTTTCGACCAAACAACGATCAGAGACCCCCATAAGAAATTGGACCTTCCAATTTTCTTAAATATGACGCATTTGTAACTTGACATGGGCAAAAATCAATGTAAAAAACACAATCATTTTGAAATGCTCCCTTTTAAATATGATACATATGAACAATTCAAGAATCTGATTACTTGCTGAATTTTTTCGTTATAGTCCTGCTTTATTGGAAGTAAAGTAGAACTTTGATAGCCCCTCGGGGCACAGCTCAACTGGTGGATCAATCAACATTGGCTTGCTTCCAACGGCAGGGTGGAGAGTTCGATTCCTGGTGGGAACCTGCAACCAAAATTTTGGTATGGAGCAATCACTGTGGAGGAGGGTTTTTTGTACGCAGAAGTGTACACTCAATGGGGAGAACCTGTGATCCAGTTGAGGCATAACCCACGATTTATCCCCTTCAAAGTTCTAGGGGCATGAGTCTTAGAGGTCCAGGATTTAGTCTGGTGTAAGCTGGGATACCTGGATATCAGAAAAAAAAAAAAAAAACTCGGAGTGGAAATGGATTAGATTCCTATTTATCCATATAATTTTACTTTCTATATTTGTGGATAATTTTAAAAAAAAAAAAAAAAAAAAAAAAAAGGTAGAACCTTGATAAATGAATGTTCGATAGATTAATATTCTTGTTTAAATAATAAAATTCTTTGGTCTCGACTTGAGTTGGTATACTAAATTAATAACACCGTTAAATGTATATGATAATAATTTTTTCAGATCCTTTTAGAATCTAACGAACATATAAAATAATAACTACCTAAATTCGTAAAAGTTCATACTAATACAAATTAACAAACTTTTAATTTGATAACATTTTTTCAATTTGTCTTTTTTTCAAAATATGCATCCATGTAACTTTTTTGTAAATCTAAATACTGAATTTAACACATTCAATATCTACTTTTTGTAAATTTCCTACGTGTAATATAATACAAGCTATAAAAATATAAAATACTATATAAATTAATAAATAATCATTTATCGATATTAATTACTCCTCTAAAATAATAATTTTTGTGATCCCAACGTTATTATTTTATAAAGGTTTTACTGTAACTTTATTTCATACAGTAAAACTTTATTGTGGTTATTGCAACCGAGCCTTCGACATTTTGATTTCTTTACTGCATCCGATAATGATTTTGTTTTGGCAGAGATAAAAAAGATACCTTTTTTAATCCCTTACCACAAAGCAAGTTATTTACTTATATCTACTTTGACCTATGAAAAAATTATTTAATTCTAAATGAAATTTTAAAGCTTATCTGAACATGCTGCAAGCATTGTTTACAATAAATTTGAAGTTGGGCAATTTGAGTCCTTTTTGCCATTTGGATTTATGACATAAAATTTGACAAAGTTTTACAATTGTAATCATCTTGATCTTGCCGCAGCCCTTAATTTATATGAAGAAAATGAAACTCTTGTTGAAACAGTACTATGCATTGAGGAGATCAAAGCACAATCTTTTTAAAATCATATCGGTATACCCAGTACTTTATCGTATTTGAATTACATTTTTCCGTAGCCATGCTTCTTAGCTGTGCAATTGAATAAATGTTTATTTGTATGTTCCTTTGAAGTTTCTCAATATTTGTAACTGTTGACACACTAAAAGTGCAGTCCAAATCGAATAGTCCAGGGAATGAAGTCCAATTAGGGAATCCCCAAATCAAATAGCCCAAAGAATGAAGCCCAACTGAAAAATTCAGGATAAAGGCCTAAATATGATTACTAATGAATGCAGTGGAAGCCTACGAACACGGTAACATCATCGCCCAATCTTGCAAGACGCCCAAGATCTGAGCGAATGAAATGCCTTACAATCGTCCAGAGCTATGACCCTGTTCTCGCCCAAACCTTCGAATCGCTCAGGATCTTAGCAAATGTAAGATGTTATGGTTATCCAGAAGTGCAGTTATTGAAACAGTTATCGAATAACCTTATCACGATCTACGATTCAAGGAGTTCAGTTGAAGAGGGTTGAACGACAAAGAAGTAGTGATAGCAATTAGATACGGCAGTTCCACGACACGTTAGCCACCATAAAGAAAGTGGATAGTTATAAAGCAATCAAGCAGTTTCTAAGCGGTTGATCACGAAAAAATCATCAAGGGAATATAAAAGGAAGAGAAGACATAGAGCAGAGGACCCCGAATCAAGCACTTTCAAACAGAGAATATGTAATTTCAATTTCTTAGTTTAAACTTAAACATTTCTTTTCAGTACTCGTGTGCTTGCGCTCCTTGGAGGCATTTTGTTTAGTTCCAATTGTAAAGTCATCACCAATAAAACACCCATTTTTGAGATTTTGTCTCAAGATGTTTGTTCCTTACACAATCGTCTGATCCCTTTTTAATTGTTAGCGATTACCCGCGCGAAACAATTTGGCATGCCCAGTGGGACCTTGGTGTTTGGTGTTGGAGATACAAAAGGTGAAATAATATGCCTCAGAAATTTGATAAGGAAGCAAGTCAGGGAAGAGTCCAATCTGTGATCGAGCGATATGAGGAGCAAC